ACGGTGTACAGGAGGTGATAGTGAGACAACTTGCAAGCAGTTTTCGATATTTCACCTCGTCTCCAACTCACAAGCAATGGGTGCCTTTCCCTAATCCCCACCCAATTCTGGCGCAATGCTGTCAATGAATTTTAAACAAGATGACGTTTCAAAATGAGTTGTTACCATTATTTGCAAGAAACGCTAATTCCAATCAACCTTTCGTAATTGCAAAGCATTGCTCTAAAGGAATTTATTGACTTTTTTATTTAATCGAAATTAACTTACAAAACCTAGATTAAATTGCACAGAAATAACTCTGACTCAAAACAGCAGCATAAAAGCTGAATATTGATGAAGCTTTTCTTTATGATAAATGCTCCCTTGCTTGTTGTTTCAAATAGAATTTGATGTGTAAAGCAAAATTGACCCTTCACATTGGCTAATTTTGTTACAGCAAACTTTGGTGACTTCCACAAAAAAATTTTGCAGATATGGAGAGTAGATTCAGATTCAGTGATTCAAGCTACATCTAAAAATATGCATTTTTAAAAAAAAATTGCCACTTTAATCAAGCCACCTTCCCATTGCAAGCTGTTGCGCATACCGCATTTTGGTTAGCTTATTGTTAGCAATTTAGTCCCAAATAAATTCCAAAAGCTTGCAGTAATCACAATAGATGAGGTGTATAGTTGCTGCTCTATCTCCGCCATATCCCGTTTGAGGTGAATTATCCAATTGCGTAAACGGTAGATGAAGGATTCATAGAGCAGGACTAGCGCTTTTCAAACTGATCACTTGGGCAGAATAGCGTCAAGAAGAAAGTACAGGAACCTACCTAACAACCTATAATATACTACTAATAACACCAAAATACTCTAAGTTGCTTAAAGAACTACTGCATGATAAAATTTTTTTATGAGTTATGATCTAATTTCAACCTTACAAGCTGCCTATTATAGAGCGTGATAGAGCTTCTTTGAAAATGGGGCAAGATGAAAGTGAGAAAATTGGAACTAAGCAAGAAAGAGAAGAAACTAGCACCTGTTGCTTAATCAAATCAAGCCTGCAAAGCCCGCTGTAACTATTTTTTTGTGCTTTAGCAGCAGATAGCCAAAATCGCATAATGCAAAAAAAAAGATAGGTTGTAGATGAAGGTCAGAAATGACCAGCCGGTCACTGAGCTTAAATACGCTGTAACACAGAAAACAACGAAGAACCCGTGACGGAATTCTTTGGTCAATTGATACTCGCGATCGTGAAACCTACGAAAAATGTGACTCCTCTCAAGTTCTCTTTGTTTAGCGGAATATCGTCGTTTGTGACATCATTGCGTAGACTATAGAAACCGGTTTTTCTCTAAGCTAGGGATACCACCATTGGCCTTGATGCTGTAAGGAGTATGGTCATAGATCTTACTACGTGTATATACGACATTAATGAATAGGTTTGACAAGGTAAGTGATGTGGTCACATGCAGTCTGATACAATCAAAAATTGTAGGGTGGAAAATTACTGAACGCATAAGTTGCTTACAGCTATTTAAAAGGAAGCATGAATAAGCTTAAATAGTGAGCCATCATTCTGACTTCAATTCCATTTCTGCCTTGTGACTACTTCACTCAATTTGGTGCCGTCAGGTAGCCTTATCGTGGATTGGTGTAGAACAGAAGTTAAAGTAAAACAGTCCCAACAAGTGTGGATCCAGAATAATAATATAGGACGCATAACGATCCCTAATCAAGTAGGATTTTAGAACAGAAGCGCTTTTGACAGCGATATATGAGAAATGGTATGTTTGTCGCTTTGTCATGACCCACTTTATGATTACAATCTAAGCCTACTCATCTTATAAATATGGGTATCCCTGCTTAAAAGAGCCTTCGAGTTAGGCTTAGAAAACATTTTTTAATTGCTTTAAAGGTAAATTAACAAGCACAAAGTAGGTTACGAAGATTTTGGGTACACACCAAAAGTGAAAAGTTCGCTAAAATAGGTTTTTTTTTTGAATGAGAGGTGGAATTTTGCCATTTTTCGGCTATCCTAGACAAGTCAAAGCTCCAAGAAGCCTGCAAATTATGAAGAGTTGCCGTTTACTTAAACAATTTTAAGAGCATTTTATAGAAATGGCGGTTCTGTTCGTTCTGCAAC